GTGGTTAGTTTTCTGGACGAAATCAATACCACAATGTTTATTAAGATCCAGCACAACTCTTTTCACAATATAATCACTATTTTTTAAGGTTAGAAAACTTCGCAATATTCGAAGTTATACAAGACGTCACTTTAAATTTCTCTCATAATGTCAAAAAATACGTAACACAAATGAGTTTAATAAATCTTATGTCTGGAATTAGCATTACCACCTTAGATGTCGCCACCTCATCGACAGTACATTTAAATCAAACAAAAGTTCCCTAATGTAAAAGTAAAGTTTTTTGCGTTTTAGGTCTTAAATATAAAAAATATTGAAAAGTCCATAACTGTTAAATATTTCTATAAAATTACTTATTTAAATATTATTCATCAAACGTAAAACAAATTATGGACTTTCCAATATTATTTATACTATTTAAAACCTGAACCGCCATAAACAGTATTTTATTTTTGCCTAAATATTTTAGGAAACGTTTGTCATTGACAACGCGTCGACATTGGACTTAATTGTCAATAATAATAACATTTTAACGCTACCGTCTGTTTGATAAAATTTAAGTAACTACCTATGTCTTAAGAAGTAGTCTGAAAATGGAAAATTTTATTATTAATTTCTTAAAAACTTCCTCTGTTTTAATGTACTAATTAATAGTTTTTTTAAAGAAATAAATAAATATATATCTAAACTGATGCATTTACTATATCAATTTCTATTAACCATACAGTAGCGGCCCCTAAATTTTAACACCAAACGAAGCACCTTGTCTCAGATGCCCCTGGTCAAAAAAATAGTTGGTTATATTTTTTTATTAATGAGACTTATCTATGTGGGAGAAACAACTTTTATTTATTACAATACCCTAAAAAAAAAACAAATACATTAATTACCTACCAAAACAGAACATTGCAGAAAAATAACATATTTTTAAGAATGTGAATACACTCAGACAGAACAAATTGGTTCATTGGACGTCTATTCGATATACAATTTTGGAGGTCTAGACGTCCAAAAATTAGTTTTTTCTGGACTTTCGACATCCAATGGACGTCTAGGGAAGTATACAAATGGCACACTTTCGATCATACAGCGGACGTCCAATTCTGGATTATATTTGGTGGACACTATTTTATATTTTAAATGATTTATTTTTTATTTTCGCAACTCGCTATACACCATTTCCCTTTTATTTTAATTAAAAATCGCTTGACCTGAGCAGAAATCGATGCCACGACAAGTCCAATGACGTTTTAGTCTTTCAAATGCTATGCTAGAAGATCTCGACCAAGGAGCCACTTGAAAACTGTTTACTAGATATGGTTATAATAGATTTAGATTTTAAACTTCCGTTGATAGAATTAAATGCAAGAGATTCATTTGGTCAATTTTTAAAGACCAATTTTATATAAAAAAAGTGTGTATATGAAAGTGTATATAGATTGTTATTATCTGGTAGGTTAACTAAGTAATGACCTAAGATGGATGTCCACTGGTCGTCAAAATATTACTAAACCTAAAATTACGTCCAAAAACAGACGTCCTCTGGGTATCGATATGTAACTGTCAAATTAATGACCTTAAACGGACGTACACTGGATGTTCGGATATGGATATGGACGGTCTGACCACGAAATGGATCTAAAGAAGATAACCATTGGACTATGCGTGCTGTCGGGACAGCAAAAATAGCAGAAAAAGAAATAATTTTTTAATGAACAAGTTAATATGGTAACAAAAGTTATGCTTATTGATTTATTTGCAAAATTAGATAGAGCTGGATAGTTCATAGTTAAAAAGTAATTATTAATTATAAATACTTTTTTTTCATATAATTTGTAATTGTATTTATTTACTTTTTTAAAGAAATTTGGAATTGTAATTGTAGCAAAATCTATAGAGGAATTGTACTTGATAATTATATTATTTAAATTGTCTGGATACAATTACTTCTCAAAAGTACAATTATTTGACCAATTACAATTACTTTTTCAAATTACAATTACATTTATAAGTACAATTACATTTTTTAATTACAATTACTTGAACATGTGTGTTTACGAGATGCACGTGGTATAAAAACAAGAAATTTCCTGTTTTAACCGGTCACTAGAGCTCGGACTCGCATCCATATCATTTGGTTGAATGCGTTTGATGAAAACCCTGTGCCGTGAAAAGAGTTTCAATGAAGTAGTGAAATTGATGAACCCAAAATAATAACAGTTTGAGGTAAGTAGATGTAGATACCCTTATTTTTAAGATGTATTTTGTATTTATACCATTTTGAATATAATTTGTTACATAAACATTATAAACTAAGAAAATATAGTATATAGTGATGCATACAGCAGTTTTTATGGTATAAATACTAAATAACTACTTATTTACATTACGTTGGCATTTCTAGTTAATATTCTAATTCTCTACATTGAACCATTTTATTTAGATCAACTAGTAAAACAATACCAATGCAAATTATCTTGGAGGGCAATGGACAGTACCAATAGATGGCACCAAGCTCCGTGGTGTCCAAGTGATGTCTTTGATAATTTTGTCGTCTTCTTCCGAGCCATCAAACGCTTGTCGAAACTGAATAACGAACATAATTTCTCTATTTGCTAATAGATGCACTGATAATCTATTCAGAATATTTGTTTTAAAATTGAGGTGTACGTGTTTAATTATGCTTCATAAACATTTATTTAAGATATACCATCATTTTAGAGAATATAAACAATACTAATTTAAATTTGGCAATCTACCCAAATGAATTTAAAAATTAAGAAAACTTTATGTATATAGAATTATATATTTAATGATCGACGAAGCGCCATTTTGATGAAATTTTGTATTTGTTCTAACAGATGTCGCTACAGAATTGCCTCCAATAAACGTCTATAAGGTTGTTTTACTATCTTATCTGAATACAATTATCTATATAGCAAATCAGACGTCATTACTTTCTGCTTGATAAAAAGTAAAAAATATTAATAATTTTTCTTACAATATTTTTTCTTACATTCTGTGGTCCACTTTTTTTAAAAAATGTGTTTCAAGGGTATGATATTTGAAAAATTGGTTTTATACTTTTATGAACTATCTGCAGCTTAAATCAATTAATTCTACTACAAAAAGAAAAACATATTGGATACCTTATTATGAAGTTGATCACCGTACCGAATGTAAATAAAACATTTAGTGTAAAACAGTTAAATATTTTATGTTTAATTAAACAACCCCAGACTAATGATGCCCGATTTGTATGGCGATTATAATATAAAAGTACTTAAGCTTAGGTATACGAACTCTTGTATTTTTGTTCTGAATCAATAAACTTTTAGAAACTCACATTTTATTATTAACTTCCTGTTCCATTTGAACTACTTGTTTCTTGTTATGGATTTTGTCTTTTCCCTTAAGTTAAGAAAAACGTACATGGTATAAAAAACAATACCCTTAGGACTAGCTGTATAAAGCTAACTTCAATTTAATCTTAGTTTTAAGTGATACATGTCAATTTCTAATCCTATGGGTGCAGTCTAATGTTTGGGGAAACAAGCCCTAAATGCAAAATGGCGTTTATAGTGTACCTATGCCATATAAAATTTGTCATGTGTCCTTTCAAGCACAGTTTAATTTTAAGTGCATACAACTCGTCCTTAAGATATCTTTAACTATAAGGAATCCTTAAGAAAGTCGCTGCAAACAGCTATTCGTACCAGCCCGGTTGATTCTTGGGTCCTCACTTCTATCATATTCTATAGTTTCATCCGCAAAGTAATTGATAATTCCTTTTTTCATGTAATAATAATTAAATCAATATAAATCTAATTTTTACAACATCTACTATGTACTTGTTATTAATTCCTTTTTGAACAAGTATCTTGTAATTGTAATTATTTTTGAGGTACATGTATCCATCTGTGATTGAAGCATTGTGGACACCTAGCGTTTAGGTGGCTTATACAGACAAATTTTAACATTTTGGCTATTATATTTTGTTTTCGATTCTTTTTGAAATAAAAACATTTTTTAGTTCCTGGTTAAATTTCTGGATTGTCTTGTTTTGCGTACCAGTATCTTTCCGTCTTCTTTCTTTCTAACTGACAGTAGTACATTTATTTTGAGGAAACTTAGCTCCAAATGGTCTATTGTCACTAATAGTGCCAGATCTTTAAGAAACAATCGTCTTATAATATATTTTTTGTTGTTTAAAGCGTGGTTAACAGGAGAGTTGACACCCGCCATATAGATCATGGAAAAAACTACCATGGGCCATTTATGAGTGTTTGTCACAAAAAAAATCAAATTAGTTACTTAAACCGGGGTGCCGGGCCTCACAGACTTTTCGCATTATGACTATTTGTTCAAGAAAGCAGTCTAGTCTCGCCATATGCTACACGTGCACTAACAAGCTAAATAAGTTAGGGCTATGCAATAGGTCTTGCCAAGGCACTTTTTGGAACGCCAAGACTCATAGACCATGCGCCCCGACTGGAGGGTAGGTACTTAGGTACTTTTTGGCAAAAATAATTATTTTTATTTTCATATAACAGGTATATAATTAAATATTTTAACAATTTTATTCTTTATTATTGTTTAAGTGATGCCGGACTTTTTATCAACAATTTTTTTTTTAGTAAATTAAGAAAAAATTTACCAATTTGTATAAAACTTTTTCAGACGTAGGAGTAGTATGACTTGGTAAAATACTAGGACAAATTTTATAATACTGTCAAAGTTTTTTCCACTGTGTGTACATATACCTACAATTTTGTTAAACAATTTTGAAAAATAATAATTTGTTTAGCTACGTTAATTTATCTAACAAAATTAATAATTATCATTTAATACGATACAATAATTAGTTCAAATTTTTATTACTAAATTAAATATTGGTTTCATATCTCTACTAATAAACTTTTCCTGTTTATTCGTTTAAGATTTCGCGTTACCCTGTAGGAGTGTTGCTATTATGTGAATGATCATAGCAACCGACAACTGTCAAGTTCTCTTATTTTGTTTGTTTATTATATGGTTACATTCTGCAAGTTTCACAACAAACTAACTTTCTGTGTTGTTTTATGTTATTGTTGAATTAATTTGTTAACCCATTGTTGGTGGAAATGTTATATAGTTCAAGATTATAACTAAAATAAAGACACTGTGTTTAAGCCAGTACGGTTACATCAAAGAGCCATATTTAATTACACAACAGGTAAGTGGTTGACAAGAATAGGTTATGTTACCTATCTAGAGTTACGATTTAATATAACTTTTAGCAGGTATTTTATAAAGAATTTAATGTATTACAGTGTTTTTTGTTTTAATCTGATGATTCAAAATTGTCAAATAGGATTATTAAGGGTCCTTAAATAATTAGTTTCATAACCTATATTTGTTTGAAATGAACTTATTGTTTGGATTTTCTATAGAAATATTTGTCAGTAGTTCTGGAATTCTTTGTGTACAAGGTGGGCAATTTTTCACAATGATATTATTACTATTTTCTGAATCATTAGAGATACATGGTTTTTAAACTAGATTTATAAACTTCGTTCAGTTAGTTGGTTCACGCTACGTTGGAGTTCAATATTAAACTTTAAACCTTTGTGAAGATAGAAATGGCGGTTAACAGCGGAAAAAAGTGGCGTATTTGGAAACGGTGAAAAATGTAATATATAAAGCTGGAAATTTGTCTACATTAATATAAACCTATTGACCCATATTTTATAAATGTAACTCGGGAGCGCAATAATTCAATTGTTACTCATATATAACTTAAGTTTTCCCAAGTTTTAAAAAAATCAAAAATGGTAATTTCTATACTGATTGTTAGAAGTTATGGGTAAGACTATTATTATTAAATAAAAATTCAATGATTTTAACGAACAAACTTATTAGCTTTATTTTGGTCTTCGGTGAACTGAGATTTTGGGCAGAGTCGGTGGTCTTTTTTATATTTTGTGAAATATATCTGTTATTTACGATTGGAGAAGAAAATTTTTCAAATAAAAGTTACTTCTCATATTATTCTCTATAATTTCTGTTTTATACAAAATTTTTCAAAAATAGTCCGTATTCGATAAATTTAACAAAATGTAAAAAATTTAAATTTTTATGAAAATGTTTAAAATAAAAGTTATTTATAACATAGTTCTCTATAATTCTTGTCCCATACATAATTTCTCTAAAATGGACCGTATTCGAGATATTTGAGAAAATGTGTAAATCTCGAATTTTGAAGAAATCTCAAACACGGATAAAAAGGAAAACATTAAATTTTAAACTTTAGCTTTATTCCGGCCTGAGGTGAACTTATTAGATTTTGGGCAGAGTGAGAACATCTGGGGGGTATTTCATAGAGGATCGTTTTTATATTTTATGTAATATACCCGTTATTTACGTTTGAAAAAGAAAATTATTTAAATAAAAGTTACTTCTTGTACTATTCTCTATAATTTTTATTCCATAGAAAATTTACCAAAAATGGTCCGTATTCGAAAAATTTTGCAAAATATAAAAAAATTAATTTTTGAAGAAAATTGTTTAAATAAAAGTTGTTTATTTTATTTTTTTCTATAATTCTTGTTTTATACCTAATTTCTCTTAAATTCGAGATATTTAAGAACATTCGTAAATTTCGAATTCTGGCCTGCTGTGAACAAAATACATTTTTGGCAGAGTCGGAACATGTGGGGTTCGAACTTAATAAGGGGTCGTCTTTATATTTTATGGAATATATTTGTTATTTACGTTTGGAGAAGAAAATTCTTCAAATAAAACTTGCTTCCAAAAGCTTGTAATAAATATATAGAAAAGTCATGTGTTGGACACATCAGATTTTGTAATAGAAATAAGTATTGATATAGAGGAATATAATTTTGATATACAATTCAATACTGATACACCTTAAATTTTCTTTATACATGATAGGAAAAAGAATATACTCCTGGGCTACTTTTCTTAAAAACTTCGTCGGGGCGGTTAAAATAATTTTTAAATTTGACGTATGTTATTAAAAACAGATAGAGTATGATTCAATTAAAAAAAAATCACAAAGGTGATCAACTAGTCATCTGCCTCATTTTAAAATATTCCTTTTCCGTTGCTCCAGATCGATATACCAGTGGCGTAGGCTCTTTTTTAAATAATACATAATTTATTGGATTGAAATTTATAAAAAGTTATACTTTAACGATTTAAACATTTATTAGAGTAGGTATATTACCTAATTAACTAAATTAAAATACCATTAGGTACATATATTTTTCGACTTTAGACGTGCAAAACATTCAATGGGAAGTAAATGATACATATGTATTTTATAAAAATAGGAACACAATTTTGTAAGTATATATTTATAACTTTAGATCTTTATTGTTGATATAACAATAAAGACTTAAGAGTCAGCAATCGCCAGACCTGCGTTATAGTATAGGTTAAGATTTGTTATGTGTGTGCTCATTATAGTAGATAATAATATTTGGATTTTATGAATATTGAGTACAGGTGGGTCTGCCAGATAACAAGTTCTCAGAACATTTTATTCTTAATAGTTGTGACTTTTCATATTTGCTAATAAATAATGATTTTAAGTAACATTTTTCTCTCTATTTTTAATAATAAAGGTTCTTTACTCTTTATGTAATTTCATTTTTTTAATTTTTATTTTACCTTCCTCGTAAACAGTTCTAAGTTTTTAATATATAATAATTTAAAGTTTGTAGTTTGTTTTAGATCATGTACTAATTTTTATCAGGAATATAATTTTCTGAGAATTTTACAATCAAAGTATTTTCTATGAGGTTCAGACGTTTTTCTACACACTATATACAAAAATATCCTTGACGATATACGAAATATGTTCATGTCTTATTGACTTCACTCATAAACTCAACTTATTCTTTCACTGGAACTTATGTGCAAGGGTTGATGTTCTATCGCTCGCATGTCAACAAACACACTGTTTGCGCATGTTGCATACAATATTTTATTTTTATTCGTAAATAAAAAAAAAACCTTATTCGCTATCGGAAACTAGAGCCGAATATCCCATATAGTTTGTCTTCTAATGAACTATCAGTACCCATTTTCATCCGATGAACTCACCCGTATTTATTGTAAATCTTACGGTCACAAACATTATTTACCTATTGGTCAAGCAACCTACGGTTATGTATTAATTTTTCTTGTGTTGGTATGAAATCAAAAATGAATTGCTTGTTCTATGTCAGAAATAGTTCATATTATATATTTTCAAATAAAAAAGAAGTCCGTTTCTTTTTATTTTAATTTTTGATGTTAATGTCACTGTCACTGTTGTTTGATTAATGTGTTTCTGTAAAAAAAGAGGTATAAAGAGATTGTGATTCCAATTAACAATGAACACACAACCCAAAAGAGGTTCAAATTTTTCAAAAGATGAGGAATATTTATTAATATCATTAGTTGCCAAATATAAAAGTATCATTGAATCAAAAGCAACTAATGCTGTTACTTGGTGTGATGTATTATACCTACTGGTTATGCAACCAGGATGGCAGAGCTAATGGCCAGCGAGTGCAACGTCTACGTTGAAAGAACCTCTTACTTTTATATCTGAATTTGTCGTATAATAAACTATAATAAAGTGCTTCAACTGATGATAGTGTTTATTAACAACCCTACTTAAGAATAACATAAACATTACACTTGGAAGGAAAAACATAATAAATGGATTCAAATAGAAAAAGAATTCAATTCAAACTATGGCCTAAACGGATGTAGATCCGTTAAAATGATCAAAGAAAAATATATTAATTTAAAAAAGAAGACAAAAAAGAAAATTTCCCAAAATAAGTTAAACATAAATCTTACTGGTGGTGGACCAATTACCCAAGAAGTACTGTCAGAAGCAGATGCTGCTATATCGGATTTGCTAGGACAGCAAGTTACTGGCCTTCCAAGTATTTTTGACAGTGGTAAGGGTAGGTTATATTTTTTATACCAATTTATTTTTTATATTATAAGCCGGAAAGTTGAGATTGCAAAAGTTACATTTCAGATATATCACATAGTCAAAATGATGTTTCATATAATAGCGAGCCAGGTTGTTCAGGTATAAGTGAAATAATCAAGGACACAATACAACCAAAAATTATAGTAAATGAGGATAATCAAAATGAAGCAGACATTAAAGGTAAAGATAAAACCTTCTAGGTACTGAACAATTTTAATTATTATTACTAAAATTACAGAAAATCCTACTACAAGCAGTGGAAACTGGGCAAAATACAGTTCATCAAATTTCTAGAGGTGTTCGACGCCCAGACAGAGAACGCGCTACGTGTGACTAAGATAGCTATTGTACAGTCTGCTAAACAAGTTATTTTAAATAGTTTTTAATATTTTTAGGTAATTAAATTTTAAAAGTGTGGAATAGTTTAGGGATTAAATTGGTCTGATTGGACTTTCTTAGAACGTTTTTAAAAGCAGCTAAAGATAGTATGTAGAATTGAAAATAATTATTATGCCATAAAAGGTGTTTTGGAATTCCTTCAACCTTTTGAAATTGAGTCAGAAAATATAAATTTTATAGGATAGCGGAAAATACCTATAATTTTTTTGTAGGCCTTTGTAAATCGTGGAAATAGTTTATATTTTATTTCTACCTTATTAAGGAAAATGGTATCTATTATTAATAACGGTTGTTTCTGAAACATTACTAAAATTTTCGAAATTTTGTTTTTCTACAAAATAATAAACTATACTATTTAGAAAAAAATTTATTTCTCTTATAATTTTTTAAAAAAATAACGGGAATATTTACATTTCGTGATCTATTAAACAAAACGATAAATTATCTCGTCGAATGACACCATGTTCTAGTACGGAAGCTAGCTTTACATTTTTGTTGGTGGTTTCATGGGTTTCATATCAATTTTTTGTAATTGTAGTTTACACGTACATATACCTCTTAACACTTGTTTGCTTTATTAAAAAAGTGTGTTGTTGTGATTTACGTCGAAATAAGTCAAAAACAACTTGAAACCCCATATAAAATCAAAAAGGAGAAACGGAAAAAAATTGAGCCTGTAAATGAACACAACTCAGAAACAAAAATAGCTATCTAATAATAAAAAAATAAAATTTGATTCTTGTGCAGCTTCATCTATATCATTAACTGTTTTTGGTTTTTTAATTTTTCTTGGTGATGAAAATTCCGATATCTCACGG